TAAGATTGTTATTCATTTCTTTGTGTTTACTGGTATATTTATAAACACCAGCAATATGTAGAGACTCATTTGCCACACATACTAACCTGGGAATTAAACAAAAGGGTTTTGTCAAAACACAGAGAAGCATTTAAGGCCATCTGCAAGTGTTCCTTTCTTTAAAAACTCAGCATGGAAACAAGGACAGAGATGTAGTGTGCCGCCAAATTCAGTTCAGAGTTAGAATGACACTAAAAGTATTAGATACCTTCCTCGGCAAGCAACATGCGTGGCCCTGGAGAAGCAACTGCCCCCAGTGGTTTGCAGGGTGCTGGGCAGCTCACGTGAATGGGATGGTTTTACTCATCCTGGTAAGTGCTGGGAGGGAGGCTGCTCTGAAACAGAAGAAACAGAATACGCCAAGGCTTATGGATATAAATGTTGTGTTTGGGGAACTGATAAGATAGAAAGCAAAGAGGCAGCATGATGTCATGGAAGCAGCTCTGCCATTTACTAACCCTGCAGTTTTGGCCAATGTAATCTCCCCATGCCTCAGTTTCTTCAATTTTAATAGTGAGAATATGTGTTCTGTTTATCTCATAATTTGTAAGAAGCATATGAGATAACCACGTAATTGGAAAACAATAAGGTTACATATTAATGTTAGTTTCTAAGGATATCAATTGAGAAGAGAAAGAACTTTCCTTTCTGTCAATATCTCCTCTGGGCTGGGCGTGGTGGCTCACGCCTGTAATCCCAGCACTCTGGGAGGTCAAAGCTGCAGGATCCCTTGAGGTCAGGAGTTTGAGACCAGCCTGAGCCAGAGCGAGTCTCTGGCTGAGCCCATCTCTACTAAAAAAATAGAAAAAGTTAGCCAGGCATGGTGGCATAGGCCTGTAGTCCCTGCTACTGGGAGGCTGAGGCAGGAGGATCCCTTGAACCCAGGAGTTTGAGGTTGCTGTGAGCTAGGCTGACACCACAGTGAGACTCTGTCTCAAAGAAAAAACAAAACAAAAACAACTTCCTTTCTTCTTGGCTAGCCACACACTTGAATCTGTCCTTATCTTTCCCCACTTGAGAAAATGGCAGAGAACAGGATGAGGTTGCGGAGGATGACAGCACTGCCCTCCCCGGGGTTGACGGGGATGTCCGGGTTACCCTTCGTCATCCCACTTCAGCAAACTCTTTGCTGATTGACTGAGCACCGGAAGTATGACGAGTTCATGCTAAATATCTGTGCATTCTACAAACATCTCTTAATTCAGTGTCCCTTAAACTCCCAAATGAAGTATGATGTCTGTGGACATAAGGGCTCTGAGGGTGGGGGCTGTGCTGAGAGTTCCATTCCCCGGCAGCCCAGCTGCAACGTGCAATCATGTCTTCCACTAACCTAACTCCGCTTCCTCGAGCTGGGAGGCCCTGGGGTCTAGAGAAAGAGAACTTCAGATGGTCTAACACTTCCAGCTAAAGCAGACATTATTTTGAGAATATTTTGGAAGTTGCACTGAAGTTGTTGCTTTACAGAAGTGAAAAAAGTATTGACATTTCTAAGCCCAGAACTATTTTTTAACAAGCTAGAAAATATAGAAAAAAACTGGTGGAATGGTTTTCTCAAGAGAATGCAGTGTAGTTAGAATGTACACTATTTTTCTCCCAGTGTGTATTTGGGTAAAATATGTGCACTGAAATTTCAGGCCAAATCCTAATGCAGAAATAATGCAAAATATGGCAGATTTATAAGCTAGGCAATTTTTATTTATTTGCTAATGTGGATTCCCTTAAGAGCTCAAATGTTCTACTTGTTACTTATGGCTTCTCCTTGAAAAGACTTACCTGTAAGGTCTCAGCAGCATAAAACTCCAGGCTGCAAAGTCATCTGAATTGAGGATCAGCCATAATTCTCCTTTGCCACCAACTCGGGGTGGTTTGGAATCTATTCGCACTCTACCTGTTTGGTAATTAATAATTCATAATTAAACTGGCAGTACAAATAAATCAGCATGACTGTAGGGTTGGAGCTCCTCTCTCTGTATTACCCTTCCTTTTATTTGAGGATCTGAAAGAAAATAGGGAAGAAAGGTTTAAGTATCTGAAATCTTCCATTCAAAGCTTTACTTCCCTTAGCTTTTAGATTTCTGTTCAATCTGTTCTTTGGATCTTTCTTTCAAAGAGGAATTAAGCATGTACCCATGCCAGCCCGTGTGCCCAACACAGTGAACAGAGATGTGTGTGCTTCAAGCACAACAGAGACAGGCAGAAAGCAAGACTGCCATACAGCATGCTCAGTCCCCCTGCCCGAGGCAGGTCTGGACAAAAAGCTGCAGAGGTGCTGGTTGAATCTGCTTTCAGGATTTAGGGAGAGGTTAGGGAAAACTGCAGAGAAGAGACCATGTTTGAGTACTCCTTGAGAGATGAGTCATATCTTTCCATGTGGGAAATCAAGGAAAGGCACGGAAAAAGCAAAACTTGGAAGTACTTATGCCTTCGCCATATTCCAGGGAGGGCTGGGGTCCAGTGCCTGCCCTGTGCTGTGTCAGTGGGGACGGGGCCTGGAGACGAGGCCAGTCAGTGGGGTTGGGGATGGACTGCAGAGGGCTTAGGTCATGCAGACGAGTTTGTGTTAACCCTGGTAGGCTGTGGTGAGGTAAAGGAGTAAGTAGGGGAGCACTTTGGTTAGATGATTGCCCGAAAAGTTTAGTCTGGCCACATGTAGGGCATAGATTGGAAGGACCCCCAAATGGAAAAAAGACTAGGCAGAAGGTTCCAGGTACGAGGCTGTTGCAGTCGTCTGTGTGAATATTGGTGAGAAATTCAACCAGGACAATGGCAATGAGAAGTAAGAGCTGAGAAGGAATCTGGGTATTTTCTAATCCTGTGATTTGAGTTGAATCAAGACTCAAGGCTTAGATGTGTGCCTAGGTAGACAGTAAGACCAGGGATCATGTTAGGTTTTGCAGTCTTAAAGAAACATGAGGCTGGGCACAGTGGCTCACACCTGCAATCCCAAGCACTTTGGGAGGCTGAGGTAGGAGGATTATTTGAGGTCAGGAGTTCAAGACCAGCCTGGGAATCTTAGCAAGACCCTGTCTCTACACAAAAGTTTTAAAGATACCATTGTCGGGCATGATGGCACATGTCTGTAGTCCAAGCTATTTGGGAAACCAAGGTAGGAGGATCACTAGAGCCTAGGCGTTCAAAGGTACAGTGAACTATGATAACACCACTGCACTCCAGCCTGGGCAACAGAGCAAGACTCTGCCTCTGAAAAATAAAAAAAAAAATAAAGATATGTGGACAGAGAAAAATATTGTTTATGAATGATGATATTTTAGTTGTCATTATCATTGTCGTGGTCATCTTATTACCTAACATGTGTTAAGAACTTGCTTTATATCAGGGAGTCTGCTAAGCCATTATTTCCTTTAACTCTCACAACACAATGGCGTTCGCTACTACTCTTGTGCACGTTTCATGAGTGAGGAAACCAAAGCTCAGAGGGGCCAAGGCAGTTTACCTTACTCGAGGTCATACAGCAGGTGAGGAGTTGAGCTGAGGTCCAAACCTCGGTCTATCTGGGTCCACAGTCTGCCCCCTAACCACTGGAATATGATTCCATTAGAAAATGCATCGTACAGCTTCATCTTATGGTGACAACAGTAGCAGAGACATCAGAGACACCAATGCATGCATTGCTGTTTGGATCCAGGGAGAAGGCAACCAACTCTGATCAAGGGAGCCAGAGAAAATTCTAGTGAGACTTGAAGGATGTTTTTATAGAAATGAGTATAGATTTTCAAATTAAGAATGAGAAAGAAAAGAATTCCAGGATAAAACAACCTGTTCAAGGTCAAGGCTCTGGAATGCTCAGGAAATGCTCAGGAAATGGTGACTAACTCAGTGTGGTTGACTTTTTGAGTGAGATATTGGAAAAGGCCTGAGATTGGGGACCACGCATGGTTACCCACTTAAACCAGCAATTCCACTAAAAACAATAAGCGCCTGGATAGAAAAGAACTCTTAGAAGACTTTGAGTATTTTCCCTTTGAATTTGCCTTTATTTATTTATTTATATTTTGAGACAGAGTCTCGCTTTGTTGCCCAGGCTAGAGTGAGTGCCGTGGCGTCAGCCTAGCTCACAGCAACCTCAATCTCCTGGGCTCAAGCGATCCTCCTGCCTCAGCCTCCTGAGTAGCTGGGACTATAGGCATGCACCACCATGCCTGGCTAATTTTTTCTATATATTTTTAGTTGGTCAATTAATTTCTTTCTATTTATAGTAAAGACAGGGTCTCGCTCTTGCTCAGGCAGGGTTTCAAACTCCTGACCTCGAGCAATCCACCCGCGTCAGCCTCCCAGAATGCCAGACATGAGCCACTCTGCCCAGCCTGAATCTGCCTTTAAATCCACAAATTCCCCTCTTCAGTTCCTCTGCCCCCCACCACCCCACCTGACACACACAGCTGCCCCCTGTGACAATGGGGCGAGAGACAGAGCTCTCTCCACCGTGAGCGCTCTGTTAATGCATCAATGCCATACCCTTAGCAAGTCAAGCCACTTGGGGTTTATTGTTGATAACAATGTTTATAATAAAAACGTGCTACACACATCTTATATTTTCCTGGTTAGAGCTGGAACCCATACTACTAAGTGAAGTATCCCAAGAATGGAAAAACAAGCACCAGATATATTCTCCAGCAAACTGGTATTAACTGAGTAGCACCTAAGTGGACACATAGGTGCTACAGTAATAGGGTATTGGGCAGGTGGGAGGGGGGAGGGGGGCGGGTATATACATACATAATGAGTGAGATGTGCACCATCTAGGGGATGGTCATGATGGAGACTCAGACTTTTGGGGGGAGGGGGGGAAATGGGCATTTATTGAAACCTTAAAATCTGTACCCCCATAATATGCCAAAATAAAAAAAAAAAAACGTGCTACACAAATATTCATTGACTAACACCTTCCTTTAAGTGCAAAGAATCATTCTCAGGTATTTCTTCTCTCTGTTTCCTTACAGTTCCTCCCCAGATCATGAATATCTCCTCGGACATCACTGTGAATGAGGGAAGCAGTGTGACCCTGCTGTGTCTTGCTATTGGCAGACCAGAGCCAACTGTGACGTGGAGACACCTGTCAGTCAAGGGTAAGATACTGACTGGGAGGGAGTTTTCAGAGTTAGTGTGTTGGCTTGGCTCTCATGAACAACAGAACTTCAGGAACCAGAAAACAGCACTGTATTTGTAACACGGTAATGTAAAATCAAACAGGCAATATGCATCTGTCACTGAGTGATTACAAAAGAAGGATTCATAGAGGAAATTTACCGAATTATTTTCTCAGTTCTTTTTGTGATCTTAAAAGGCTTTTGTTTTCCAAACTCTGAAAAGCAAAGGTGCATAAGAATAACTTTTTATGAAGAGATTACTTTCTCTAGACAGAGATGGGTGGGTCAGTTCATGGTTTGCCCTTTCGTGAAGTAGGTGCAAGGATGCTAGAATAGTCATGGAGAACTTCGGCGTTAATTGTGTGACCAGGAGAAAGAGGAACTCCTTGCTTCAGTACTTTTAAGACATTTATCCAAAGCCAGATCTGTTTGACTTGTACATAAATATTAATTGTTCACCTTGAGTGGGAGAAGGATGGTAGGAATGGTTAAGTGCATTCGGGCATATCTGTGCTGGGCATTCCATAATTGAGATGGGAACATCAGTTATGGTGTCTCCATTTAATAGGATGGAAACCAAAAGGACAATGAGTCTTATCCCCTCGGAAATAAAACTTGCTTCAAGTTGAACGTGAAGATATGGTCACAGAGCCACTTGATATATTTACACTGTTACTGGAAATTATCATTAATTCTAGAAATTATATAAGAAATGAGTACTTCCTTAGGCATTAGAAAATCCAAATGTGAAACCCAGTGAGTAGGAAAATGTATGAAGTGTGTCTATGTGTGATATAATAATAAGATTGATTTAGAAGAAACATAAGAGTAAATTTTAGTAATCTTGAGAAAGAAAAATCTTTGCTAGGACTAAAGTGTCGTAACCATAACAGAAAAAAAATGATATATTAGTTGGTATTAATACCAAAGTATCAAAAACTATGTGACTTAATGACAGAAATTTATTTTTCTGGAGCCTAGAAGTCCAAGATCAAGGCATAAACAGGGTTGGTTTGCTTTGAGAGCTTGAGGGAGAATCTGTTCTATGCCTTTCCCCTAGCTTTGGTGGTTTGTTGGTGATTGTTGGTTGGCATTTCTTGACTTGTAGATATATCACCCTGTTCTCTGCCTTCATCTTCACCTGGCCTTTTCCCTGGGTACATCTCTGTGTACAAATTTCCCTTTTTTATAAGGAAATATGCCATATTGCACTAGAGCCCATACTAATGACCTTGTTTTAACTTGATTACCTCTAGAAAGACTATTTTTAAATGAAGTCACATTCTAAGGTACTTGGATATTAAGAATTCAAAGTATACTTTTGGGGAGGATACAATGCAACTCCTAACAGGCTTCATAAAAATTAAAATTAAGCACATCATTAAGAATAAATGAATTGGAAGAATTACAAGTTTGCTAGAGAAAAAAAATAAATGAAAAATCAAGATACAGACTTGGAGAAAACATTTGCTATACACATATCTGACACAGTTGGCGAATGTGAAGAATTCTTACAATACAATTCTAACAGCGTACCTCAAAATGAGCAAAAGTATTTGGATAAATAATCCCCAAAGAACATATAGCCAATGGACAGCAAATAAGCACACAAACAGATGTTCAACATATTTATCATAGAAATAAAAATTCAACCACAGTGAGATACCACTACACAACCACTGGAAAGACTAAAAAGAGTGATAATATCAAGTGTCGGTGAGGACATAGATCAACTGCAGCCTTGCAGGTTAACTCTGCAACTGTAAAATGTTATAAGCACTATGAGAAACAATTTGGCATTTTGCTATAAAGTTAAATATACACTTAGCATATGACCCAGCAGTTCCACTCCTAGGCATTTGCTCAAGATAAATGAAAGCATATGTTCACAAATATATGTTGTACACAAATGTTCTTAGCAACTTCATTCATAATAATCTCATACTATAAATAACCCAAATAACCATGAGCAGGCGAATGAATTGTGGTATATTCTAACAATAGGCTGCTACTCAGCAACTATAAATAAACAAGCCAATGATGCACATAATAAAATATATGAATCTCAAAAACATCACGTTGAGGAAAAGAAGCTAAAGATCTATATGTGTGTGTGAATTATTTTATGTGAAATTCTATAATAGGTAAAACTAATCTAGAATGATGGAAATCAAATGTGTGGTTGCCTAGGGTAGTGATTTGGGGAGAATTGACTGCAAAAGGGCACAAGAAATTTTGGGGGATGATGGAAAAGTTTTATATCTTCAGTGGACTAGAAGTTTACATTGGTGTTGAAATTATTCAAATCTTAATAAAATTATACACTAAAATAAGTGCATTTTATTGCAGTTAAGTGAAATCTCAATAACATTTGAAATATAGAGAGATGTAGGAAATAATGACTTGAATTTTTTCCCTAATTTGGAACATAAATTGTGTCCTAGAACTTATCAAATGAGACTGAATTTGTTACTAGGAGTATTGTTTAAGTTTTTGCTGTTTTCCTCTTTATAGACTGAGAACATGTATTTATGCCTGTGCCTTGTTATAGGGAAAGATAATGCTAATAAACCTGCCTAGCATTCTTTGTATAAAGATCTCAGATATTGAAATTTAAAATGTCAGATCATAAAGTAATATTAACAAGTATATTAAAATATACATAAGAGACATCACAAAGGTCAACTTTAATATAAACACACCAATAGTGTATGTTCCCAAAGACATGGGCTTCATGGCAATTTTGCCTAAAGTCAGGGAGGATTTGGGATCTACATTATACACAAAAAGATTTCTAACTATCAGATCAATTTCCATGTACTTGATAAAGTCATATGTCTTTATACATGCTTGAAATCCCAGAATGTAGGTTTTTTTTTTTATCCTAAATGCATAGTTCTCTAAGCTTAGAAACCTTTTAAAAGGCATTTTGACATTATACAAATGTTTTCAAGCAATTCTTTATAATGGTACATGGTAAGATTTTCATTTTAAAATAAGGGAGGCTCATTCATATTCCTAACCTTTTATAGAAAGTAATAGTTACGATTCAGCCTCACTGGAAAATCCTAAATTTAAATGATTCCTCTCCTCTTTAAATCTCACAGGCTGTGCTCTACTTTGAAGTTACCTTTAGTTTCTCATAGCCTTGGCCTTAATTTTGCTGTCTTTCATTTCTGCCATTGTCTTTCCCCTTCCCTCTCTCAATGACATTTAAACATTTAAACTTGAAAAATTGTTTCCAAGTTTGAAAAGCTCTGGAACCTGGAGTGTTTGTGAGTTTAAAATTTGCATATACAGGGTGGCTACCAATATTTATTTTTAGAAAAATGCTCCTTCTCACTTGCAGTTAGGGAGTTGTTTTAAAGGTTTAGAAGAGCATCCAATAAAACTTGAACATCAAACAGAATTTTTAGAAAAATTTCAGCATGGAAGAATAAGAAATAAAGGTTGCAATGACATTTTCATTGAAATTCCAGGAGGATTATATTGAAGGATTAAGCTCACTAGACAGCTGTGTTCACAAAATGCTAATGCAATATTTGAAATATATGGCTTACATTTGGGGATCTATATAACAGGAATGAATAAATAAACTTTCATTTATATATATATATATATATATATTATATATATATATATATTTTTTTTTTTTTTTTTTTGAGACAGTGTCTTGGGCTTAAACTCCTGAGCTCAAGTGATCCTCTTGCCTTGACCTCTGGAGTAGCTGGGACTACAGGTGCACACCACACAAACCTGGCTGATTTTTCTATATTTTGTAGAGATGGGGTCTTACTATGTTGCTTGGCTGGTCTCAAATCCCTGGTCTCAAGCCATCCTCCTGCCTGGCCTCCCAAATTCTAGGATTATAGGCATGAACCACCATGCCTGGCTTAGGAAAAATATTTTAATGAGGAATTACTAAAGATTAAGGATAGTAGTCACACTTACGGTTTAAAATGACAGTCTGAGTACATGCTGTCAATCCCTAGAAATTATAGGAAAGAAGTAAAAATAAATGAATAAATAAATACATTAGAGGATAATAATGGTAAGCTTTGATGGGTCAAAAAATATAAAGAATCTGTGAAATATAAAAAGTAGACAACATAATGAAGGAAAAAAATATAGCCCAAAATAAAGAAATATTATCTCTATCTGAAATGATAGATGGTTAGAAAATGAAGGGTTTCAAGTAGGAGTGCACTGGGAAATATTTCAAATTGGTTGAGGGTGGTATGAGGCAGGGAAAGAGCCCTTACATTTGCCAATGCCTGTGGTGTAAATACTCCCATCATTAACACTTTCCTGTGATCCCCTTTGAAGCAACTTTGCTTTTCAGGTTCATTTTCTAATTAAAACAAATAAATCCAAAACAAGTCCTTCTTACTAAAGTAGGGTGAAATTTTTGAAGAATCACCAAACTCAATGAGAATCTAAGACCTTTCACCATTTCTGATCTCTAGACTAGAGACCTTCTGATCCCTGGTTTCCTTTGCAATATGACAAGTGTGCCAGGATTCTCAGACACTAGGCATTCTCAGACACTAGGACATCGGCTTTACTTCTGATGAAAGCTGGAGATTTACAGGATCGTGATTAAATGTTGTGCACATCTCAAAGAAAAGTGCTTTGTAAATGTACATTTGAGGTTTTGCAGTTGACATACCAACTGCTGAGCATTTGACTGTGTCTTTATCTTTTGATAAAAAAAAAACTAACTTCATTTTTTTAACAGCAATTAATAGCTTATTTAGAACATATATTTATAGGAATTTGTTAGAGAATATGGCAATTGTTTAATTTCATTCGCACACAAAGAATTCTGTACCAAGTGACCTACAGCTCAGGAAGTAGGTCAATGATGGAATCACAGGCTGTTGCCTCAAAGAATTTTCCAAAGAAAAGAGTTGGGTCTCAAAATGCTCAAAGTGGATTGGCAAGTGGCCAGTGTGTTTGGGACACATTGTGAATCACCT